TTGCCGAGCCCCCAAATTTTGATCAAGTGACTGGGGATGCTATGACTGTGGTAATTGCAAAGACTGGTCATAAGACTTCACTGGTGTTGTAACTTTGAACAGTTGCTAAATGAATGGTTGTAAGTTGAGAACTACCTGTATTGACTAGGGGGAAAATAACCTTCAAATTCAAAATCCCATCTGTGAGAGTTTGCAGCAGAAATTCAACTCCACAAAACACAAAACAGACCGATTCAGCAGGATTCATAAACTTCTTTATATACAGAGTAACATGAAGTAAAGTTTACAATACCATTAGTACTTTCTTCCAACCTAACAGAAGCAAAACAAAAACAGCAGCTCAGGAGCTCAGAACAGATTACTTTAGTTCAGCAGGCAAGCAAGTTAGTTTCACTTTAGAGCTGAGCATGCGGAGCTAAGCCACGCCCAGACTCTCAGCCCCCAATTCAGTTTCCATTGGCTGACTTTGTTAACTATGTCTCTGCCAGTTCATGAATATTCTGACACCATCTTGAACCCTATCCCTGACTTTTTCACTGGAAGAGTGTAGTGGCTTTATACTGTTTTGGAATATCTACAGTACCTCCATCCTGCCTGCAGACTCTCAAATACATTACAGTAGCCACTCTGAGGGATCTCTGGTGTTCTATGAGCTTGGTTGTGTTCTTGTAGACCTTTCATTAACCAAATTAAGCAACATTTTCCATGATAGTGATGTTAGCACCAAGACTGGTGATGTCACCTAGTTTGACTAATGAAACACCTGCAAGAAAATAATCAAGCTTAGAGAGCACCAAGGTCCTCCTCATTTCAACCCTGAGCTACAAATATCCTCTTTTATTATCCTCTCCAATTTCAGAAAATTAGCACTCAGCACTTTCTCAGTTAAAAGAACATATAACTGACATCCATGGACATCCAAGGCTGCTCCTAGTAGGTAAAAGGATTGCCCATGTTCTTTCTCTTTCAGCACACAATTTGCTCTGCCTGCAGTAATTTTCACTGACATAAATCCCACTTCAAAGGATTATACTTCTATGAACCCAAAATTCTTGAGAACAGAATATATGCATCTGGCCAGGAGTTCAGAGAGAACAAAATTAGCTAGAAGTAGAACTGCAATGGAAATTCCACATAGCGTTTTACATAGTTTTATCTTAACCCCTTTGAGATAATTTTTCTATTCTTCCCATTATTTTCCCATTTATAGCTAAACAAGGCTATTGGTTTCCAGAGAAGGGGAATGTGGAAGAAAACTAATATTATCAATAAAAGCAAAGGATATATATCTTTCATAGTGCAATGCCTGAGGTAACCATTCCTAATTTTTAAATGTATGTTTTCAATTCTGAATAAGTGACTAAAGTTAACAGTAAATTTGTTATGAGAGATATTACAGAGAGAGATCCACTACTGGTTCTTCTTTCACCCCATCCTATCAGCAAAGATTCAACACAATTTCATTTTGTGGGGCAGATTACGTAAAACAAATACATAGCATTAGTACTGCTGTAAATTATTGAAAGGGATGCTGAATAGCTCCCATAAAATTTCTTCTATCCTTCCCTTCCTGTTTTAATCAATTGTTTGTCCATACAGGAACTGATTCATAGCCTGGGTCAGCTAAGTAGCTTCTGTTGAAAGACTGTCAACAGTTTTTTGACTATGCAAGTAGAATTTACTGGATTTTTGCCATGTTCTTACTTGTTATCACCTCCAAATAGTTGGTGATACAAGATTTTTATGTTAACACTTATGGGTGCTTTCCTAACCTGGCTTATTCCTCAGAACATTTAAAACCTATAAGCTACTTTCTACCAACATAAGCACAATAATTAATTTTTAATTTTTCAGTTCTATAATTTTTTAATTATATTCCTGTTTGAAAAAATTATCAGTCCTATTGTAATGGCTTACTTTATTCTCTTGGTTAACATGATAATTTTTATAATATACATTTTGTATTAATTATGTTTTGGGATGAGGCTCATTCCCCTAACACAAACCCGCTTCCCATCCATTCTTATTGTTTTTTTTTCATGTAGAACAGAGGTCCCCAAACTTGGCAACTTTAAGACTTGTGGACTTCAACTCCCAGAATTCTAGAAGTTGAAGTCCACAAGTCTTAAAGTTGCCAAGTTTGGAGACCTCTGATGTAGAGGGAGGATTTTTTCATAACACAAAAGAAAACTCACTTTGAATTGGCTTCGTTTGTTCTCAGTAATCACATCACACAAATCAAAATAGCCATAAAGAGACAATACATGATTTTCATATAATACCTATGTGACAAGTCTCAGGAATAAAAGAAATAATAGTTAAATCAGAAGGGAAGAAATAAAACACTGGCTCTAAACAAGGATAGAAAAGTTTAAGTTCATGAAATTGGTAAGTTCGTAAAAACAAAACTCCAGATTCTCAACAGATCTCCTTCCCAAAGGAAACAGTACATTTTACCCAGCACCCATGCTATACTCGCATTAGATGATGTTTGGCTCTCTTCTGTCCATGTTTTGGTTTAAGATGGTACTACACATTAGAAATAGAATAACAGAGTTGGAAGGGATCTTGGAGGTCTTCTAGTCCAACCTCCTGATTGGGCAGGAAACCCTACACCTCTTCAGACAAATGGTTATCCAATCTCTTCTTAAAGACTTCCAGTGTTGGAGCATTTACAACTTCTGGAGGCAAGTTGTTCCACTGATTAATTGTTCTAACTGTTAGGAAATTTCTCCTTAGTTCTAGGTTGCTTCTCTCCTTGATTAGTTTCTACCCGTTACTTCTTGTCCTGCCCTCAGGTGCTTTGGACAATAGCTTGACTCCCTCTTCTTTGTGGCAGCCCCTCAGATGTTGGAACACTGCTATCATGTCACTCCTAGTCCTTCTTTTCATTAAACTAGACTTACCCAGTTCTAGCAACCGGCCTTTATATGTTTTAGCCTCCAGTCCTCTAATCATCTTTGTTGCTCTTTTCTACACTCTTTACATGAAGTTCTTTGGTGTTCTTATTCTTTATAACCAAATAACAAAAATGTGGATATCACAGTATTCTACATATTGCTAAACTGAAACCCCAACTAGCATTATCAATAAAGAGGAAATGTAAGAGTTGCAGTTAGAGCCATAGATCCCCCCCTCTGCTTTCTACCATGTTTCTCCAACAATACGGCCTCCCCCAATAGGAAGTCCCAGCATGTTTTATCGCATTAAAATCAAATTCAGCCCCTCCCCCAAATTAAGGCCTATATTAAACATGCGAAATGGGGGGGAATGGCGGGGTGGGGGGGGCTTGCCATTAGGAAGTACTTTTGTTGCATACCCGGATATGGTGCTGCCTGTGTTGACTTTGGCCTTGGTGGGGCACTTCGTATCAGGAGACCTTCCTCCACCATTGCTTTCCGTTCTCCCCATGCTGCCGTGGCATTTAGAGCAATGCCACGGCGTTTGGCGCAGCCACACGCAGCCAGCCAGGGCTCCTCCCTGCAACCGGAGCCTGGCAGAGACACTCGGCTTCAGGCGCTCCTGTCGCCGCCTTCCCTTCGCCTTCAAAGGCAAAGCCAATTCTTTTCAAAATGACACCCTACTATCGGTACAACAAAGCCTCCTCTGCCCAACCCCACATGTGGAGGCGAATTTCCCGGGGCCGCAGCACAGAATCGGCCCACCCCAGGAGAAGCGCTCAGCCACCATCCCTGCCTAGCGCCGGGCAGAGCACAAAGACCTTTGCCTGGGGCGCCCAGCGCAGCTGACAGGTGGGCCCTCCTGCCCGGAGGTGGAGCTCTTGCCAAGGCAATGAGTGCCTCCCCACCAGGCCCTCCACTCATCCTGCCAGGGCCACTCCAGGGCCACTCCAGGGCCGTGCGGGCTGGGCAGAGCCAGGAAAGCAAGCCGCAGGTGAGCACCACCTGCAGAGCAAAAGAGCCGGGCCGACCCAAGCTTGGCTTCCTTCCCAAGTCCCTCCAGCCCGAACCCAAAGGGGCCACCAGGAGAGGCCGCCCGAGGCAGTGATAGCGCCCACCCATCCATGGATGGGGAGGCAAGGCGATGGCCTGTGCCACGTCCTCCTCTGAGCTAAGTCCCGCGGAGTCAGCGCCTCTGCCCAATGCCCGTGCTGCTGCAGCATTTGGAGCTGCCAGCACATTTGGAGATGCATGGGGATGGGGACAGGCTGGGTGAGGGGTGGAAAGGACGGGCGGCTTTGGGCTCTCTCCGCTGGACCCGCTGGCCAGGGAAGCAGCACTGCTGTCACCTGCGCTGCAGCCGCGGGAGATTCGCCTCCCCACGTGGGGTTGGGCTGTCCTCTTGGGCAGGGGAGGCTTTGTCGTACCGGTAGTAGGGCATCATTTTTAAAAGAATTGGCTTTGCCTTCGAAGGCGAAGGGAAGGCAGTGACAGGAGCACCTGAAGCCGAGTGTCTCTGCCGGACTCCGGTTGCAGGGAGGAGCCCTGGCTGGCCATGAGTGGCTGTGCCAAATGCTGTGGCATTGCTCTAAATGCCACGGCAGCATGGGAGAAGGGAAAGCAATGGTGGTGGAAGGTGTCCCGATACAAAGTGCCCCACCAACACCAAGGTTAACATCCAAGCCATTGCCGCCCGCCCACCCGAGGATGCAAGGTAGGGGGAATTAAGTCACCCCCGAAAAGACAGCCTAGCCATTTTTGGGGGGGTCAAAAAAAAAAAAAGGCCCGGCCTTATTTTGTGAGAAACACGGTATCATGCAACCAATCTACCTATAATCAGGAATGAAAGAATGATGGAAGAAAGGCTTATCTCTGCCCACCTCCCCCATAGAATTAGATAAAAATAGAAGATTGCATGAAAGAGCTATAAAATAATTTCTGTAGTCCTATACAGGACTTGCATTTGAAATTCTGACTTTTTTAAAAATAAAAAACCTACATATAATGGGGCATGTTCTTTAAAATTCGGACTTATGACAGGAACATTGAGTCACTCTATGATTTGAATTTGATGGATAACTAAGGACCAAGGTTAAATACCTTTATACTGGAGGCTGGCTGGATGAGCTCTGTGATGGACACCTTGTCTTGCTGAAGCCTTCTTTTGACCAACTTGGAACAGCAGATGTTGACAGAGTTGAGAACATGCCAGGAGTTGTACTCCACAAAGGAGCGGCTGTCAATGACCAACATTCCTTCGGTCCCACTCTTCAAAAGGCTGGCAAGTTTCTTGGGATCCATCACTTTGTGTGGAAGTTTGTCACCGGCCATGGTAGACTGATCCCTTCCGCAGCAAGTGGGAGAAGAAAAGGAACACCCAGGGAAGAGAAGCCAGCTCAGATATCCCAGAAGTGGAGGGGGAAGGGGAAAGGCAACTTGAGAACAATCAACTTTTGCCACGCTGCTAAAGCCCCGTATGACAAGTCATCGTGCCAAACCTGTTAGGAAGTGCAGAGAGAAAGAGAAAAAGAGGAGGAAAAAGTAGTCAGATATTGCAAGTATGCCATGTTGGTTCTACTGTATTCTGCTCTAGCTCAGATCTGGGAAAAACTATAGTCTTTAGATCAGAGATCTCCATACTTGTGGGCTTCAATTCCCAGATGTCCACAAGTCTTAACGTTGCCAAGTTTGGAGACCCTTGGTCTAAAGAAAACTCTATCTAATGCTACCATTTCAACCAGGTATCTCCAGAAGCATTCAACTTATCTCCCATGCAGCAGGCACCAAATTGGATAAATGAATCAGCTAGAGGAAAAGGAAAAAGATATCCTAAAATTATAGCTTATGTATGATGTTTCAAATTTGATTTTGATTTAGTCCTAGATTCTTCATCTGTACTTCACATAATTTACTGATTACTGTCTTACTGTTCCCTAATAACACTATTCTTTACAAGACTCTGTTTTTGATGTTTTGAAGAGTCTAAGCTTCTGCAAAATACAGAAGTATTACTTTTAATAAAGTAATTTGCCTACTCCATCAAATAGCCTTCAGAATCACATATTCCAGATTTAATTCACCTGAGGCAAAACTCAGCCTTGCATGTGTATGCCTTAGAGCAGGGTGTCAAACTTGTGGCCTGGATGCCTCACATGCTGGCCACGCCCAGCCCCAGTTTAGTGAAAGGAAAAAAGTTGTGATACGTAACTAGACAACATTGTGTCATCACAAGTTTGACACCCCTCCCTTAGAGTATGTTGTAGCATTTATCACTTTAAAACTTTTCATGACCCACACCATTATGAGAGAGAGGTCCCGAATATTGACTCGAAAACTACAAACCTAGCATATGAAACTCCTTTTCTACATTGCAAAAATCATACCACAGAGCATGCATAATTTAATTTTGCATATTAAGAAATGCATATGTATTCCTGTTTGATCACAGGCTTGTTAAAGCATCAGAGAAGGATTAAGAAGAGCCAATTAAAGTATCCATGCAGACATGAAACTCATTGGGTCATTAAGCCAACCAGTTTTGCTTGAATCTAACTCACAGGTTTATTGTTATGGGAATAAAATGAGGGCAGTTTCCAAGTAAACCAACTTGAACTATTAGAGGCAAGAGGGTGTATATAACCATAATGCAATAATAATTTTTTAAAGTAAAACACCATCTACTGCATCTGGAGGACCAAACTTCATCTAGGTCCTAGGATATGTTTCAGATTGCATCCATACAATATTTATAGCACAGTATTTATACTTATAGTATTTATTTAAAATATTCGTATAGCTGCTGACCTTAAAACAGAACTCTGGGCAGCTGGTAAAAAAAATAGAAAGCCAAGTTTAATAACAGCTTTTCATTTTGGGGAAATAGTGGTTTCAACACAGCCCAGAGTTGGAAACCACCATATTAAAAATTCTCACTTACTTGTAAAAATGGATATAAAAACTAGCCTCATAACTTAAACCTGTCAAACTACACCTCTTGAAAAAACTATCTGGAATAGATTAATTTGCCTATTGTTAATAAAACCATTATAAAACATAAATGATTTGCAGTACATTTATCTTACTTATTTACATTTGCCTTTCTTATTATCAGAAAACCTTACATTGATCGGGCTAGAAACCAGACACATCAAATTCAATGGTACTTAAAAGGTACATACAGTTGCGTTTAGTAAATCTCAATGCATTTCAATAGGCCATATTTCCAAGTAGATTTGAGGGATCCTCTGAGCTTGATTGTTTTCTTACAGGTGTTTCATTACCCCAAACTAGGTAAGATCATCAGTGCTGATAACAACCAAGATCAGAGAGCACCATGGATCCCTCATTTCAATCCTCAGCTACAAATATTCTTCTTTATTGGTACCAAGTAGGTTTGAAAAGGAGTATGCTACCATATATTCAGTTTACCTACCAATACTAAACTGGAAAACTTGTGCACACACCTTGAATTGTGTTAGATGGGGGGCACGAAAAGTATAACCACATTTTCTGTCAGGCCCATTGCTAAGAGTCCGGTTTATTATGGTCACCTGAAACATTTGGAGGAAGAAGGGTGTCCTTCTGAGAGAAATCACAGTAGCCTATTTTTAAAATAAAAAAGGAGTGAGGTGAAGGAACCCTGATAACAATACCAAAAAGTCTTCTTTTCAATACATTATTTGCCCATTCCTTTCTCTCTCCACTGTGGATTTTAATTTTTATTATTTGTATCTTTGGTAAAAGATGAACTGCTCCTTTGGCGTTGGCTGGAATAACCCTTTCTCTCTTTTGTATTTTGGGGCAGGCTTTTCAAGCTGAAACAGCTCCTAATTAAGAGAAATCTGAAGGGGAAGATGGAGGCTCCTGTGCTTGTTATAAAGTATACTTCATTATGTGCTTTCAGCCACCCGGAGGATTCCCTGCTGTACCTATTCCTACAGAAATGAAAATAATCAGAAAGGATGCAAATTAATTGGCTTCTTATCTGCTTTCCACCCTCCTTGCCTTCTTCAATCTTTTTATCCGTGGAGAGGGAGAAGAGAGGAAGAACGAGGAAAGGACCAGCTGAACATTTCTCCAAATTCCACTTTGGAGAAATATTAATTGAAACAGATGGACCAAGGCATTTCCCTAAAGAGAGCTAGATTACACAGGCAAAGGCAAGAGAAGGAACAGTAGAAAGAAACTTGAGGATTGGTCAAATAGCAAAGAACCAGCCAATGAATCAGAATCCCATCTTTATTTCCACTTTCAAGTTCCCGAAGAATGGTCAAGATCCAGGGATTTCAAAAGGCAGCTCAAGGAGATTTTTGAAAATATTAATACTTTTAGAAATTTCTCCCTCTCTCTCATCTGTCTGTCTGTCTGTCTCCATCTTGTCCTTTCTCTGGACAATAATACAAAATACCTAAGTAACAAATAGGAAATACATAATGCAGAAGAGAAAATTAACATTAATTGATTAAAAATGTTGTTCAAAGGAAGAAAGTATGCATTTAATATAAGCCTGTTTGTGCAGGATGAATTTCCAGCCTTTGCCCTCCCTTTTGTTTTCAACAGTGAAAATGGTTTGTTTAGGACAGGGGTGTCCAACCTTGGCAACTTTAAGACTTGTGGACTTCAACTCAGCAAAGCTGGCTGAGGAATTCTGGGAGTTGAAGTCCACAAGTCTTAAAGTTGCCAAGGTTGGACACCCCTGGTTTAGGATGACTTAGCTAACTAAAATGTTCTACGTTTCTTCGTGCACTTGCCTTGGTAATGTCAACCAGCATCCCAGACAGGCTCAAATATTCACAAACTGCTTTCCAGAAATAGAATCAACAACTTTATGAGGATGTGATGCCCTAGATCAGTGTTTCTCAACATCAGTAACTTTAAGAGGTGTGAACTTCAATTCCCAGAATTCCCCAGCCAACATGCTTTAAGTTGTCAACATTAAGAAACACTGTGTTAGATGACACATACTGTATAGGCAATCTTCCTTTAGTGGGAGATAGACATTTTGGGTGTTTTTAAAACAAAGGCAGAACTTTGAAGGAATGGAGCAAATCTTGGTGAGTAGTCTCTGATTGCTATTGATATCAACAATGAGACGTAGTCATCCTTCAGAATTAGCAGAACCAGGCTGCTAGGGAAGAATGTTATCATCAACCAATGTTATCACCATCCCCTTACTTATGTTTTAGGCCAAGGGTCTTCAAATTTGGCAAGTTTAAGACTTGTGAACTTCAACGCCCAGAATTCCTGAGCTAACATGACTGGAGGAGGAATTCTGGGCGTTGAAGTCCACAAGTCTTAAAGCTATCAAGTCTGTTTTAGACAATTCCATCTCAAGCCTATAATCTCCATTCTACCACAATTTTGATTGTATTCATCTCCTATGAGAGTAGTCTTTCTCCCTGGATGGGCTGAAACTTGAAATCCTATTCCTTGAAATGACACCATTACATCACAGAATTTCTTTCTTTCCCATGCTTATCTTTCCATCTTAGTAAGGTATCACTACTGTAGAAGCTTTCTCTTTCTCTCTCTCATTAGGCTCACCAGGTGGATGCTAGATGAGGCACCCCCTGAAAGATAAAACACTATTTGTGAGCCATGGTGATGCAGTGGTTACAGTGAAGCACTGCAGGCTACTTCTGCTGACTGCTGGCTGCCTGCAATTTGGCAGTTCAAATCCCACCAGGCAAAAGGTTGACTCAGCCTTCCATCCTTCCAAGGTGGGTAAAATGAGGAGCCAAACTGTTGGGGGCAATAGGCTGAGTCTGTAAACCGTTTAGAGAGGGCTGTAAATGCACTGTAAAGCGGTATATAAATCTAAATGCTATTGTTATTTCTGAAGGCAGGACATAATCAGGATGCAGAGACCCAAAGAGTTTCTGGGATTCATCTTCTATCCTATGGGTTCATTCAGACATGCTCCTAACATTTGTTCGTATTACTTTTGATGAACTCTTGCTTAACCTTCTTTTTAAATAACCAGTTTATTAAACTTATCAAATATAATAAAATACTAATGAAAACCCTTGCCTAATCTTTAAATGATTCCAGAATTTTTATACAGTTAAAATCTTAACTTCATTGGGAGTCATCTGTTAAATCTGAAGGTTGACTTCCTATTTCTAAAACTCAAATTAGGACCCTTATGAAGATAGAATGGAATGCCATTCTCTTAGGACAGCGGTGTCCAAACTTTTTGCAACAAGGGCCAGATTTGGTGAGGTGAAAATGTGTGGGGGCTGACCATTCAGCCTGACATTCACAGGAACGGCTGTTCAGTGAAGGGAAAAAAAGCCAGCTGGCGGGGATGAGTGGCAGGCTGCTCAAAATTTGAAAACAGGCCGCAATTAGCCCCTGAGCTGGATATGCCTGCCATAGGTACACCATCACGGTTATATACTCATATTAAGCTTAATTTAATTAAGTCTTCAGGAAAAAAAAGATTTATTAAACACCTGGTGAAGCCAACATAAAGCTCTTGTAATCAGCAATCTGCCTT